ATGAATAGTCTCCACTTTAGATTGGGTACTGCAAAAACATTAACAAATAATTAATACATGATTTAAGTTGTGCAAATAATAGAAGTCTACACAAACCAAATTTACCAAATTTATGACCTTTACAGACTGTGATTATGAGTTAATGAATATATTAACATGGATAGTGCTTAAAATTTTACATTAAATAATGATCTGTTAATCATTTGGTAATGTTTAATAAGCTCATTAGTTAACATTAACAAGTACATTATCTCATATTTCTAGATATGTGAATATATATTAAGTAATGATTAGTTAAACATTATGTAATGTTTGTTAATTATTTATTAATGAAAGTTATTATAAAGTGTTACAGAGGGATACATGCGATTCCGTCTGAGAATTTGTCCAAAACGAGGTACTTGAAGAGGCAGCCTACAGTTTGGAACAGCCCTCACACTGGGAGCACCCCTGTGACGTCTTAAAATGCTGTCTCCATAGGCAGCTCACTAGGTTTTGGAACAGAGCAATCGTGTATAGAAGACACACGTCCTCAGGTCCTTCCAACCGTGGCAAAGTCCATCATTAGTGCTCATGTCTGCTCAAGCATCTGTCCATCATTCGCTGTTGCAAGACCTGCCAGGGGTCATAGGTTGAGCTGTATGCTGTAGGCTGTGTTTTCCTCTCTTGGTTTGAGGAGGTGAGACCAACCTAAGATTAGAGCTGGATTTGACAGAGGGATCATTCTGCAGGAAATCATTTGGAAGGAATGCAGACAGATGAGTGGAACTACTGTACATCGGTGAGATTAATAGAAAGGTTCCTCCAACAATAATAGAAATGGTTCATGCAGTCTGGGTGAAATGTCGGAATAATGCTAAAAATAGACTATTATGCAAGTTTCTTTTATGCAAGATATATTGTAGTGCATATATCCAAATCCAAATATGAACAACTCAAACTGTGGTTAAATATATGCAGCAGACATTAATTTAAGTTAGAATAACATTAATCTAGATCTAATGTTAACAAAATTAATAATACAAAATTATTAAATTAATAAAATAAATACAATTTCTCAGTATTAATTCATATTTGTTTATAATACATTATTATTAATGTATAAAACTCATATATTAGCACTAACAAAAATTAATCAACAAAGGCTCATTGTAAAAACATCTAAATTTTGTAAAACTCCAAAAACATACAATTCACTGCAGTTTCCATCTGAAATATACAACAGTAGCAATAATGCACTTTTTTGTTCACACAAATTATGAATACAGAGGCAAATGGACAATTAATAAAAACTAATCTGCGTGTTTCCTTGCACAATACTCCTGCATAAGTTAAAACACTTTTAGCATAGTGCATGATTTGTAAACGGATATATTTTGACATATGAATCACATAACCAGTTCAATATGTATTTTTTGACAATGTCAAATTGACACTGTAAACTTGCTCGGTAGCTCCCCTGGTACAACATTGCACTTTCAATGCAGAGTGCTTGGGTATGAGTCAAAGAAGCAAACTAAAATGGCTTGGTTGATTTTTATCTTACGTTTGCTTTTGTTAACACTATCGGTTAGGTTTACTGCAGGGGGTACATTATTTTCAAATGCGACAGAGCATTAACCTAGTGCTAAAATGCATTTGCAGGCTCTGAGGCCCAGCGATGACAGACCTCAGTACCGTACCTTCACTCGTCCGTGGGTGAGTTCACGCCTATCACGCTTGTTCTTGCGCTCCCCATGGACTGCGTCAAATGCTGAGCGGGAGATGAAACAGCATTTCCTAAGGGGTAAACACTGGCAGCCCCTCTTAATGCAACAGAGCGTCACGATTGCTCACTTCAAAGAGCCCTCCTTGCTCACTTTTATACCTATTATGACAAAATGCTAACAGGGCTTGAGGTCTAATTGGGAAACTGCTGGCAAGATGAGGATAAATAGATTACATCAAGGTGTGGAAAAGATAATCTTGCTGAGGTGAATTTGGGTCATGAGAGCATGAATAAGATGATCGGCTTGTAGAACCAGACCTCGTTCAACGTTCTTCTGATTCAGCACACATGATGGCCCAGAGACTACAAGATGAGATGCACCAAACATTTCCAGCTGAAAGGGAAAACAGACTGAAAGTAAAACTAACCACTGCCTGCTTCTCTTTCTCTTTAGTCAGTTTAGGTTGGACATCAAAAACGGCAAATTAATCATTATCCTTAGATGTGTTTTATTTGTTGTATTTTAACAGTATTTTAACAGTTGTTTAAGAAAATTGAAAGAAAGTTTAATATAATAATACATATTAATAAAATATGATTTAAAATGACTATTTTTGTTTTTCAGACAGTCATTGTGTCCAGAATTATCCGCTTTGGGCCAAGAATTTAATTTTGGTGCATCGCTAATTTTAAGTCCTAGATTTGTGCATGTGTGCATGAATATTCAAAGAAGTCTGCTGCGATTTTCTTATACTGAATTACACAGACTTACAATGTCATTGGTGGTTATTCCAATTCTCAACACATCATACCTACTGTATCCAGTGAATTATCCACCAGGCACGTGCACAGGTAGGGCTCAACCTGTGCAGAGCACATGCCCTTTTTGCCCTTACATTCCGAAGTGCCCTTTTTTTTTGGTGATGGTGTTTTTTTTTTTTCCTTCAATAAATCAATGATATTGGTCACCCTTTACATCTGTCTGTCTGCTTTACAAATATTTAGCTAATGAAAGGTATTAAAAAGAGCTTGTGACTAAATCTTGTTGGATCCGCTCAAACTGTCAGTAAAACCTCATAACTCCACCCCCTCTATCTTGACTGAATGAACTGAAGTTCCACAGCAGCTGAACTAGGTCTGCAAGGGTAAATAAAGATCTTGTTGTTTGAATAAGTACAGCGTTTTCTTTACGCAAGAAACACTATGTCTATAAAGGCTCATAATTTATGTATTTGAAACTGAGCCTGAGCGTGGCGCCCATATAGCTACAACAAACACCTGGCGATGAAAACGTAACGCCGCCGTTTTAATGACGGACAAAATGCACATTTGCACTATATATATATGGCTGTTATTAATAGTGAATAAATCTAAAGCTTTTGAGACTATTATTTTGTGTTATTTCATTTATCATTAAGGGGGTGGGGGACGGGGGTGCCCTTTTTCAGTTTCAGCACATGCCCCTCAAAAGGTCTGTGCACGGCCCTGTTATCCACTATATAAACACATGTATCACAGTAGCGTCATATGAAATGGAAACCAGCCATAAACCTTTTACCCCACTCCATTAAAGTAACAACCCCTTAAAAAAAGATACATAAAACGTAAAACACAAAAAGAAAAAACAAAGTGGTCCTGATTTAGTGGATAATAATGAAGGCAGTCCCTGCAGCCAAAGCCAAGGGCAATGTGTTGGAGATGAATACACTGAAAGTGTAAAGTCAGGGGAAGGGCGTAAGGGACAAGTGCAGTAGTGAAAGATCACAATAGACCAGTGGCTCAACCACTTCGGCTTTGACCGCGTGCCAGGCTGCTCCCTCTTGATTTATGTTGTTTTCACAGGGTGTTGGGCCACAAAGAGGCATAAATGCACCAGCCTGAATGCTTTACTCACAGACATCTGCAAACTTTAATACACAACAACTAGGCTCCAAAATCTAACAGTTGTCATTTCTGCAAGTGCTGGTAACACAGAAAACAGGAAAATAGAGTGAAAACAAATTTAAATGCATGAGACTCTAAAAATACACTAGCTGTGCAAAGTTATTTTAGGACCATGAGAAAATTCACAGAATCAGGGAAAAGTCCTCTCAGATTATTTTCTTTTGGATAAAGTCTGGCCTTTTATCTCTTGGATTAACATCAGTACTTATGCTAACATATTCATTCAAGGAAGTTCAACCTGGTCTTTCTGCTTTATCTGTGCATTATTAACTAGACAGATAAATGTACTGATACTAAGAAATATTTCTTGAACACCAAATCAGCATATTAGACTGGAGTAATGGCTGCTAAAAATTCAGCTTTGACATCACAGAAATAAAATACATTTTAAAATACATTAAAAATGGAAAACGTTTATTTTAAATATTAATAATATTTTACAATATTACTGATTTTACTATATTTTTTATTATATAACAAAACACAATTCATTTGGAAATGCCACACATATACGGTTAAGACAGACTGAAATGATCAGGGATCCTATTAAACTGAATAATCTTTGGCTAAGTCATTATTTAACTTAATTTTAATAGCTGGTCTTTTTAGTTTGGGGAGGAAGTCTGAGTTCTGAAGGTTACGGTATGTTTTCATAATACATTGAGCTCTTTTATCTCAAAAGATCAAGGAAAATTTGATTCCTCGTGATATGACCTCATTAAGGAGTTATTTCTACCTTATTTGACCCTTAAAATCCCTTTCATTAGCATAACCTAATGTAGTCACGCTGATTCTCTCACAGTAAATAATGTTTTGAACTTGAATAAAACCAGTTCATTTGTATGTTACCACATGAAACATATCTTTAGGTTATCTGGCAGCACATTTTTTTACAGTGTACGTCTGAGCAGCAACTTAAGCAGGTGTGGACTGCAGAGTATTTGGCCACCTTATTCAACAACAGATGTTCATGCAATGGACTTCATCATGGTCAACAAGGCATGAAGCCTTTCCACGCTGTTGGGCTAATACTGTTATTAGCTTGTGAAATGGAACTCTAACCGCTGCTGCAAAATGAGAAACAGGGTGAGAGTGAGAGAGAGAGAAAACATAAAGAGAGGAACATACAGCATTTGGACACTTGTCACACTGAAAATGTGTAACTGTGACAAACAGACTGAAATTTTAGTCATTACTTTCTGAAAATCTTAACATTTGATCCAGTTCTTATGGCACGTTCAGGACAATTTAAAAGAGAAGTAGCAATCTCTGATATATGTCTGTATACTATATATGTATATGTATATGCTTTTTTAAGCTTGACAGGCCCGATCCTCTTTTGCTTTCATTATATTGAAAAGAGTGGCCAAAATCATACAGATTTGGAGGACTTCAATTTTTGGGTAAATATTATCTTTAAGTGTGAGGTGTCCAAAGACTTACTTTTGAGGCCACTGTATATAGTATATATTTAAAGTGAAGCAAAACAAGATGTTGAATGAACAGCACACTACTGTTCAAAAGTTTGTGATCAGTGCTTTTTTTTATATATTTTCAAATGCATCATGGTTTCCAGAAAAATAATTAAGCAGCATAAATGTTTTCAACATTGATAATAACAAGAAATTGATCAGCATGACTTCTGAAGGCTCATGTGACATCAAAAAGTGGAGTAATGGCTCATAGGAATAAATTATATTTTAAAATAAATAAAAATAGAAAACAATTTTTAAACGGCAATAATGTTTCAAAATATTATTGTTTTTACTGTATTTTTGATCAAATAAATGCAGCTTTGGTAAGTATAAGAGACTTTTTTCAAAAACTTACAAAAAAAAAAAAAAAAAAAACGGACCTCAAACTACTAGTGTATATTAAAAAAATAATAAATAAATACACTTATTTAAGCTACGAGACGGTTTTGTTTTTCCAGAACACAGCTGTACATGCAAACACCACATCTTGAGCCTATGCTGCACTTCGCACATTTACCACAAGATGTCAGTAAACCAAGCTAAACAGTGCAATAGATGGAGACGGAGCCAGAGAAAGAGAGAGAGAGCCCTCTTTCCCTCTACCATGGCTTTGCTCTTGGCAGAAAACACTGCACAGCAACAGACCAGACTGCTACTCCTTTACATCCACTAGATAGATAGATAAAACGTAGTCTGTCACTCTCTCTCCCTCTCGGGCTATTCAAAACAGGCCACTTGGTATGTGAGACATCTTTCGAGAAGCCACACGAACGATGTGTCACTCGCCTCTTAAAGGCCATTGGAATATAATGGAGTGACAGACTGTACTCTGAGCCTACAATCGATACTAGTAACCCAGGGTTGAATGAATTTCACCCTGCGTTCCTAGAAAGTGTAATGAGAGCAACTGGATGAAGGGGAGAGGTTAGTTTGTGGGTTTTACAGCCTCAGAGATGATGAACTGAATGGCTGTGGTAAACGTTAAGTCTGAAAGCAGTGCATTTAAAGGGATAGTACACACCAAAATGAAAATTCTCTCATTATTTGCTCTTGTAGTTACCCTTTTTAGAGGCTGCATGCTCAACAGACACTATAAACTGTAATATTATGGTAAGAACTACGTGAAGGGTCTCAAAAATTCATGCTTTTGGAATTACATGAAAATAGTAAATAATGACATAATTTTCAGTTTTGGTTAACCATTTTTTTTAAAGTAATTTTTTCTGACAGCATCAGAAAGAACTTCCTTGTTGTCAGCGTAAATCACCATTTCAACTGCCAGTGGAACTATAGTGATGAGCACGCAGGCATACTTTTATAACCAACTCACAGTCTTCCTGTATTCGCATGCATTCGCATCTCATGCATATGTATGCGTTAAAGACACAGGAATGAATTTATTTTAAATCTCAGAACCTCTTGATTTTCACGTTCCGTCCATGCGTCAGTACAGTGCTCCTGCGCTGACACCTCGATCAGACGCCAAAACAAGCGGCAGATGATTTATGGCGATGGGTAGCTTTGAGTGACAGGACGGGGATGAATACTTGCTGGGAAAGACATCATTAAAGTAATCCATGTGAGTCCTGTGGTTTAACCTCAATTTTATGAAGCAATGCACGTGCTTTGTTTGTGCAAAAAACACATTTTACCACTTTATTTTCTAAAAAATATTGATCTGCCACACACGCTCATAAGAGCACCATGGCGCATGTATATTGTGTTCACGCTAGAGTTAACATTGTAGCATGAACAAGCTTTGAATAATATTTTATTGTAAATAAAGTGGTAAATAATAATTTTTTTTGGACAAACATAGCACTCGTGTTGCTTCATAAAATTGAGGTTAAACCACAGGAGTCACATGGATTACTTTAATGATGTCTTTC